CAGTATTTTGCTAGCCAATGTAGAGGCTTCATCTTTGGATGAGCATACAGAGCTGCACATGCCCCTGAAGGCCCCTCAGTGTGAGGAAGGACATCACTGTTTGACACAAGTTCCAAAAAAGGGGAAACAGTGAGAAGGTTGAAGGGGTCTCGTGCTTCCTGCCGAAGCAGCGGAAGATGATGTGGCAGATCTCCTCTCTTGTGGGTTTTAGGGCTTGTACTTCTGCCACTACTGAGCAGGGAACTGTTGTCGGCATTGCTTCCTTTGAAAAGAAAGGGAAGCAGAGGTTGGGTTTGATGTCTCTGATAACAGAACAACAGTACCCTGAGTCTCTTTAGAGGGGAGTTGAGATGTCCCCAGAGCCCTTGCGATAGGATTGGTCTCTTTTCAGTTTCTCTAGAACCTATTCTGTTCTGCAGCAACAGCCCTTCACCATCCAATGGGAAGTCTCCTCCCCAGTGTAGGTAAACAGCCACAAATGGTGGCTTGGGGCAACTGCAGATGCTCCAGCTCTAGATGCCGTATCAGAAGCGATGGCAGATGCCCTCAGGCCATGCTTAACTACCAGCTGAGTGTCAGGGATTAGGGCTTTGGCCAGTTTTCTCTGTTTTTCCAGCAGTGACTGAGCAAACAGTGCTATTTTCTCCCAGAAGGGATACTGGTATTGGGACATCAGCGCCTGACAGTTCACTACTCTAATGCCTAGTGTGCAGAGGAGCATTTAGCTTCTTATCTTCACTGTCTGAAGGGCTAGAGTGGACTCGACCACCTACAGCTCTTTGACTGGCAACCACCACTACCAACAAATCTGGGGCTGGGAGAGCAAGAAGCCCTCATGAAGCAGATAGTACAACTTGTCTGCAAGTTTAGAAATTACCTGCCCAGAAGCTGGCTTTATTCGGGTGTTCTTTGTTGGCTACAATAGGTCATCTAGGCCTGGCAAGGTAATCTGACTCCTAGAAGGTGAACCCAGGATATTGAAAGCTAGGTATGTCATTTCCTCCAAGGTCACTGAAGGGATGTGTAAGGTAATAGCCTCCTTCTCTGTGCTCATGAAGTTATAGCATATCCTCTGGGGGAAGAGGATGCACCCATGGTCATCCAGCAGAGTCTGAATGTCTGGATCTGTACATCTGTCTTGTGAGTTCAATTGGACTTTCCATCTCATCCCTAGCCACCACATGCAGGATTAGTGAAGTAGACTGTTCCTTCGGTAGCAGCAAGAGTAATAATCGCAGGCAGGACAGAGCCAGTGCAGGGCCCTCTCTTTGAGCTCTATATGAGAAGGCTCCTTTTGCAACTGTCCTTGCTCAGTCCTTTTGATTTTGGGGAAGTACCAGAGGGAAGGGTTTTATGGACACATTGCCAATTGTGGTACCTTCCAGCCCTGCCACTACCCAGCAGGGAATTAATTCCTATCATATGCTTGGATGAAAAAGGGTGATCTCATGGTCTGAAGGGCTGGAGCCAAGAGCCTTGGTAATGCTCTCTAGGTTCCCTGGGAGGGGAAGGATAAGGAAGGTGTCAAGCCAGTCAGTATCAGAGGGGTAGCCGTGTTAGTCTAGATCTGTAAAAAGCAACAGAGTCTCCTATGGCACCTTATAGACTAACAGACGTATTGGAGCATAAGCTTTCGTGGGTGAATACCCACTTCGTCAGACGCATGTCAGTCTCTTTCTGAGTAGAGTAGAGTGCAGATACTGAGGTTTCCAAGGATGACAACAATGGTTTTAAAAAATACTAAGCTGAGACGGGTCAGATATTGCCCTGGAAAACTAGTAATAGTCCTTGGGGTCGGTTAGTGTGTTTCTGGGAGGTTTGCATAACTGGGGAAACTAGCTTAGCCTTGTAGTTTTCGTTTTCTCTCCCAGAGGAGGAACCATCCCTACTCCCTTACATTTCCCCCCGCTGTCTTTTTGCACTGAGGATAAAGTATCTAGTGCCACTGAGGGGCCCCTGATCGAAGGGTATCCCGGGGCTTGATGAGATGAACCTATGTCACTATTAGAGGGGTAGCCGTGTTAGTCTGGATCTGTAAAAAGCGACAGAGTCCCGTGGCACGAAGTGGGTATTCACCCACGAAAGCTTATGCTCCAATACGTCTGTTAGTCAATAAGGTGCCATAGGACTCTGTCGCCTATGTCACTGTGGATCCAGTAGGAACTGAGGCTCTGAAAGAGCATCAGGCACCTTATCAGGCTTATAATGAGCATAAGACTGGCACTGTAGCCCTAGGTCCAGCATAGAGAATGAGTCCATATTACAGCCTTGGCCCTCAGTACCAGACTTTATTTTGACTCTGGCTTTGGTGGCTGGAGCCTTGAGGGGAGATTTTTACACATCAGTGCACAGAGCCAGAAAAGCCAGATCCTGAGGGGAAAGCCCTTGAGGGCAGGCTGTCAGCAGAGGTCGACACCTCTAAGGCCAAGCATTTCTTAGAACTGGCTCCAGTCTAGGAGGTTGACAAGACTTTGCCAGGCTTTTTAGACACCTCAGAGGACTGCTGCATCTTGCAGCCAGAAGGAGGAGCTGCTAATTCCTCCTGCAATGGCACAGCTCAGAGATGCTGCTTTCTAGCCCTGGGGGGTGGAGGTGCAGCCTGTGGAGCAGTGAGGGGAATTACCTTCCCCTTCCCCCCCTGGGCAAGCCAAATGGACTTGTGCCTGAAACAGGAAAAACAGCAAGGCAAATGACCCAACTCTTGCACCCTGGTTTCTCAATCTCTGGTTCTAACATTTGGCAACTGGGGAAGGGGGGGGCTCTGCACCAGGGTGCCAAGGGGTGTGTGTGCTCTGCACTAGAGTGTCAGTGCCGGGGGGGAGGGCTTGACTTTGCACCCTGGTGCTGAAATCCTGGGAGAAAAGAAAGGCTACATAAGACATTTTTTAAATGATAAAAATTGGCCAGCTAAGGTGGCGGAAGTGGGAATGATCCATTCCAATGAGTCTGGGTCAGACTGACCCTGTATCTACTACAGCATCTGGAAGGAACGGAGGTTGCTGGTGCACCATACCCCCGATAGCCCCACCTTTGACTGTTCAGAGCTGGGGGGAGGGGCCAGGGGTGCACAAGCCCTCCAAGACGGACTGCTACTAGCGAGTTCCACTAGTCTAAGCTGCACCCGTGGTGCATCCTCAGCAGCAGGAATGGGCAGAGACCATTCGAAGAGACCACTGATTTAGCTTAACAAAGAGAAGGTTAAAGGGGTAATGAGTATAGTCGATAGGTATTGACATGGGCAACAGCTATTTAATAATGGGCTCTTCAGTCTAACAAAGATATAACATGATCCAATGGCTGGAAATTAAAACTGAAATAAAGCATGTTTTTACCAGTGTGAGTAATTAACCACTGGAACAATTTATCAAGGATCATGGTAGATTCTCCATCCCTGACAATTTTTAAATGGAGATAGGATGTTTTTTAAAAGCTCTGCTCTAGGAATTGTTTTGGGGCTGTTCTCTGGCCTGCGTTACACAGGAGGTCAGACTACATAATCACAGTGGTCATTTCTGTCCTTGGAATCTATAAAAACCACTTTGTTTTACAAACTGAATATGGGACCCAAACCAGCCCAGCAGCATCCTTTCAAGGGGCTGGAGAAGTCTTTATCTAGCAATGGCAGGGTGCTTGGGCCTCTACATGCCAAAGATAGGCAGCTCCAGTGCCCAAGGGCATCCAGCCTCCTGGCCAGAGTAGATGGGACACAGGCAGGAGTCTGGAGGAGGAAATTATACAATTATGAAGCCTGTACAGTCAGCACAGGAAGGAACAGCAAGAGCCATTGCTAATTTTTTTGAGCTATCATGGCAAAGCCAAGCAGACCTTTCCTCACAGCCAATCAACAGGCAGTTGCTCCAATCCAGCTCCAATTTGCAAAATAGTTCTGCTGTGGTATGAGCCTGCAGAAGCAACCCTGCAACCAAGAAGAGCTTTGTGGGAAGCGTGGCCTTGTGGAAAGGAGATTCAACCTTGACAATGGAGTCATTGCTGTGACTCTAATACACACTGAATAGAGTGCCCATGAGGCAGGCTGCCAAATTATCCCCCAGCCAGGAAGCAGGGGCAATTTCTACCAACACTGGACTCAACAGCTTTTACCAGCCATGAGGGAATGAACCCATGTGGCACGTCACATGTCAAAGCTCCACCAGCATCTCCAGAACCAGACTGAGCAAGATGGATGGAAACTCCTCTGGCAAACACATCCTAGTCGTGCTCCAGACAGCCAGTTCGCCACAACCAACTGATCCCACCTCCAGAGAGAAGCCAGCAATACTTGTTGGTTCCTCTCAGGAACAAGACTATGGACACAGTCACCTCCCTGCAGGAACCAGCAGCGCTACACACTCCACCTGAGCTCAAACCCGGTCCATGCCCTCAGAGAATGGCAGACTGTTTTCCAGCATGTACAGGAAGTGCAGCCCCCGCAACTGGAGATGACAAACTGAAGGTGATTCATGGAGCAGCAGCAACTGCATTCGCTCAGCTCTTCACCAGTCTGACTCTGCACTCGGCACATTAATGCCCATTGCGTCTGCTTATGGAATGAAGTGCCAAAGCAGTGACTTGGAGAAGGGATCTTCACTCTCCAGAGTCAAGTCATAGCAATTTCTATAGTGACCATCTAATGAGTTTGCAAGCAGGTGCTGGAGCAGAAGCTGGCCTGAGGAAGCATTCACACCAAGCAAAGAAGTGCCAAGTACCAGAGGCTGATGTTTTCCCTCAACAGCTCAAATTTGCATCTTTGGAATAATTCTGAGCAAGAATCAAATAACTTGGGTAAAAATTTATTTTACATACAGAACAGAGTATTTTCTTTACAGAAGGTGACTAGCAAGTCTGAGATTCCCAGAGCTCTGAACTGGAGAGCCAGGAGATTGCAGTTTAGGAATCAGACACAGGGGGTGGCTTTCAGCACCACACACTTTGGTGGGGAACTGCAGAAGGTTTAACTGCACAACTCCAAGTCAGGCTCAAGCCCCCCCCCCCCCCCCCACCCGTGTCGGGCTGGCAAATGACCCTTGGCTGGTAGAGATCTTTCCAAAGTTTGACTCGCTGAGAAGGATGAGGCCTGGGAAGATGCCAGGCACCATTTCAAGCATCTTGTTTAATTCGACTCTCACAAAACTATACATGAAGATGGTGTAACAACACAATCTCTGTGAAGTACAAAACATTAAATTACGGGGCTGCAAACAAACAGGACAGCAACAACAGCAGGACCCTCCTAAGCCAGTTAGTCTATGAGCAGCTGGTTCATGACTGATTTTATACCACGATCCTAATTCAAATGTACAGAGTACAAAAAATACTTTGACCAATATTCAATTGTACCGGAACCAAGCAATCTACTAAAAAGCAAGTATTACTCTAGAGGCCAATAAGTCCTTAAAAGCAGGGAGGGGCTGAGGAGACTTGCTCGTGCATAGCTGCCGCCAGACTCATTCGCGCTGCTCCATTTTTACTTTGGGAGGTCTCAGAAAGGTCCTGTTTTTTTTTTCTTTCTTCCCTTTTGTATTTGCCTGGAAGTTTCTCCAGCTGTCCACACGGCCATCCCGACTCTCCTGAGCAGGACAAAGGAGGAGGAAGGGTTAACAAGAGCCAAGAATAGGTCACCTCCTACCAACTCCAGCAGATTGCTGGCATTTTCTTTTGCCCAGCAGAGGGCACTCCCCACGGAGATCCCCTAGCACAGTGGTCCCCAAACTGTGGGGTGCACCCCCCCCAAAGGGGGCACAGAGGAACTTTCAAGGGGCACCAGGGGGGTCCTCGGCCAGCCCCCACAGGGAGTGGGGAGGGAGCACCACCTGGCCCTGCTCTTGGCCCCGACTCCTGACCGTGGCTCTGGCCCCGCTCTCGGCCCCGGCTCCTGACCACAGCTTCCGAGTGGGGTGTGGACCAGCTAAGGGGGGGGCGTGCAACTGAAAAAGTTTGGGGACCACTGCCCTATCAAGAGTGTAGATGACTGCCAGCTCCTGGAAGGCCACTGGACAGCAGACAGGGACTGAGAAGAGCAGATGAACAAGAATATAACCAAGGGTAGCTGCTGGATGGTTTCCAATCCCCCCAGTGCAAGAGAAGTATGTTGGTGTCTTGCTCTAGCAGAGACTAGCCAGGGGTTTGCAGCAGTAATTGGGGCCATCAAATCCTCATTAGCACAAAGCAAACAAGAAACCTCACTTCCCATCTCTGCCTTAAGTCACCGATTAATCAGCCAAGAACCAAGCCTCTGTTGAGTCCTAGGTCACAGCTCTCAGCCTTTCCCCACCCCACATCCCAGTAAAGCCTGTGTGCCTATGCCGCAGTATTAACCTCCACCCCAGCCACCACTTCGTTTTTTCACACCACCCCCTTCCTGAGCCATCCCCGTTACAGAGGTGTGGCAGAAGAAGGGCTCTCAGCAGTATGTTTTACTCTCCTCCTCCACCAGCTCTAGGACATAACTGGAAGGGGGGTCAGCCTCAAGAGGGCACCCCACAGACCTTGCTCCTATCAGCCGACAGGCTGAAGGCCCCAGACAGTGGGACAGAACAAGGAGTGTCCTGGTGGGTGGGTGGGTGTTTCCTTCACATCATCTGAGCAGCACGCAGAACAATCACAGAGTCTGCCCCAATGTGCTGACTATAGCCTCTGGGCCCTCCTGAACCAAGGCAGGTCTAGACACAGATTTTGTACCAATTTAAATATTTCAATTCAGGGATGACTTTTTAACCCCAACAGTTAAATCAGAGCAGCCTCCTAGGGTGGCCAGTTATCCTGGTACGAAGAGACTTAAACCAGTATAACTCATTTCCACACATTTAGGGGAATGAGCTAGGGCACCTTCATACCTGAATAACTGCACCCACTCTAGGGGGTTGACCTGATTTAACTAGACCAGTTTCTACAGCTATTTAAACTAGTACCAACAGTGTGCACAGACTAACGCTAACACATTAGGCCTCAGGCTGAAAACTCTGGGCATCCTCGCACTGCAGCGGACCCAGCTCCCTGCTTGGGAAAAGCTGCACAACAGCTTCCATTCTAGGCCCCTAATTCACATACTCTCAACTGGGGGAAACTTTCCAGGCTTGGAATCTGTGTGAACGAGAATTTTCAGAGTGTGCATGAGCGCGGTGGGATGTTCTGACCTGCTTGTTCTTCATAGCGATCACTATAAATGGCTGAACTCTCCTGCCAGGCCTAAATAGCCCCCACTGAGCCACACACGCCAACTTTAACAATAATTGTTGTAAAATAAAGCTGTGAGCATTTGGAAATGCAGGAGGGAGCACACAATAGAAAGCCCCTTGGGGTGGAAACAGACAATATAGCTGATCCAGACCAACTCAGAATACAAGGAGGAGCACAGAGAGGGACCAAAGTACCAGAAAAGAGACATTAGGGAAAGGGCCACAAGTACCAAGCTGGCAATTCCCCAGCCCCACCCCCAGTCTCAGTTAGGGATGGTGACCTGCACAGAAGGGGCGACTGTACCTGTTGTTGCTAACATCCAAAAAGGATTTGGAGCTTTTTAAAAGCATTTTTTCCTCCTGCTTTTAATCCTACCAATATCCAAAATGTCTAGACTTTCTTCCCAATTTGGGCTGGGGACTCTGCTGACCCATAATTGAATAGGTGAAGAGAGCTGAATCTTGAGCAAAGAGCTTTTCTCACAAATGTCTGAGGGATGTCTGAATTAAATGGTTTAAACAAAACCAGAGTTTTCAACTGTCTGAATAAAAATCCCTTCTTTCAATTATTCAGTTGCATTTCTGTTATATTGGTGATGTCAGAGCCTTCTCAGTTCTCCAGGTGCCCCTAGAACAAAATTCACATGACAATCTGAATTTTGGACATAAAAACACAGCAGGAAAAGTTAAGAGAACTTTCAGGCCAGTCAAAGAGACAACTCTCCAGGGCTCCTCCTTTGCAGGTCATCTCAAAATGTCTCGGCCACACCCTGCCAAATGCCCTGTAGGATGTAGTAAGATGAGGCCCTGAAACATAAACCCTTGGTATCAGAGGCCTGGCATAAGGCCTGAGGCCTGAACCAAAGGAATGGTCAAGACTTCGCTAACACAAAGCAAAGTTAAGCGGTGAGCCAGAGGCAGGCCCTGCTCCCAGAAGTTGGCAAGAAGAAGGCTGCTAATTGCATGTATACACATACCTAAAGGGTATCAAGCACTAATAGTATAAACAGGTTCCAGGATGGCACCAGAACAGTCCAGTATGAACACTCTCCACAGAGATAAGAAGGAACAGCCTGACCCATCCTAAACAACAGGGTCAAAAGGATAATATGATGGATAGACTTGTTGGTTCAAACCAACATGTACCAGGAGAGAGGCAGCATCCCAACACACAGAAGGATTGTACCTCAATGCGTCAGGAGTGATGTGTAACTTGTTTGTACCTGTGTATAAGAATGCATCCCTGGGGCGGTGTCTTTGTCCGGCCTAGGGGGCAGTGGAGTGTCCCACCACTGACTGAGCTGTGTCCATTGTCAGGGGGCACATATTCGTAGTATATGTCTGCGGGAAACTATTACTGTGTTTCGTTTGACAATAAAGCTGGCCGGATGCCTTCGTACCTTATCGGAGTCTGTGGTCATTGGGGGTTCTCTCGGGGTCTGCTGTGCCAGCGATCTGCAGAGCTGGGGCAGCACACAGGGAGAACACACACACACACAGCCGACTGTTATCATCATTGAACAGAGCAGAGCACCACACCGGTGGTGTCTGACGACATAGGAAACCATCTCTCACTGTCCAGGGACAGACAAGGCACTAACTGATCCTTTCCTTTCCTGACTCCTAGAATTCTAGGAAGCAGACTCAGACTGGAGCATGAGGCAGCAGAGAGGAAAGCAAGACATAAATGAACAAACACTAGCGAGTCAGATGGAGACGCAGCAGGAGCATTACTAGAAAATGAATCCATTCTAAAATACAAACCTGGGTCCAGTTTACTATATAAAATGCAGTTATTGTCTGGAACGTAACTGAATAAATATGGTTCTTCCTACTCCGGAGACCTGCTCCCTATGTGAAGCTGTCAGAGCTACTGGCTTCAGTAACACAAAATGAGGTTAAATTACCCTGCAGAGTCTCAGCTCTGGGAGGGAAGCTGGATTCCCCTTTGGCTCTCAGGCCAGAATGGTTCACTACATTCTGATTGCCAAACCTTTGTTGCTGGTGTTGATGCACATGCCAGAAAGAGCCTCGAGTGACCAGAAGGAGCGTATACCACTGGCTGCCAGAAAGAGCTTTTTATTTGTGAACTCAGCGGGTTTGAAATGGAGTCAGAGGAACATGGAACTTTAGGGTGCCATTTTCAGGGTCACTTTCCAGGTCCGAATCTCATCTGAAGCAAAAACATTTGTCTTGCAGCACTGAGAACTCAGAGGAGAATCTCTCCTAGAAACAAGAAACCTGAAACAACCTCAGCAAGGGTCTCCCCTCCAACAACATACACAGGCTCTGACCAAGAATTTACATGCTCTTCTGTCTCTAAACCTTCTCTCCTAGCTAGAGAGGGGTGTGTGTGGGGGGGTGTCAATTACTCCAGTTCCCAACATTAGCACACCTAGAGGGGCGCTCCACCTCTGCCCCCATTTGGTCTTTGATACTCTGCGCCTCTGGCAATCTCAGCAAATTGAGATGGCAATTTTTGTGATGTGAGCACCTGACCACCTGAAACTAGCCTGGGACCCACCGACTAATTCCACACTGGTTGTTGAACAGCCATCAGAGGTTAACTGTTATTGGTCACCAATGACCTGGGCTCAGAGGCAACCCAATCTCCTGACTTGGGGTAGACATCAGTCGGTGACCTGGAGGTGAAAGACACTGGACTGCAATTCACCAGACACCTACTCTCAGAAGGGGCAGGGATCACATCCTTTCCCTTGGCAGTGAGACACCCTTCAGTACTCATGAGACACGCAAGGGTCTGGTTCCTGCCCATCAATAAGGCAGCAAACAGGTTCCTATAGGATCCTTCACTAAAATGTGCCTACTTGGAGTGCCTCGTGCCTTTAGTGGATGGGATGATCTTCCTTGTTCTTCGTGTACATGCTCTGCAGCCTACCCAAGAGCGGATATGACTCCCTAAATGCAGGTAGCAACTGGTTATGCTGCAGATTACCTCAAAGTTCTTCTGCCATTCTCGTTCTCGCTTGGCTTTCTCTTGAGCCTCGATTTCCTCCTCTCTCTGTCGCTTCCTGTACAAGAGGCCATAAAGCAGTAGTTATGGACCCACCAGCATCTACATTAAAAAGACACACAAAACCCCTCACCACAGAGACATCTGCTCTGATTGCAAAAGGGAGACTAACTGCTTATCAGAACAGATGGATGAAATACTCACTTCTAAGCATCTAGTAGAAGAAAAGTGCAACCGAAGGCAGCATTATTGATACAAGACCCTACTTGCAAACCATACAGATGAAAAAAAAAAATATATATATATTTATATATATATATACATATACACACACACACACACTAGACCATATAAAAACTGACTTGTGAGCCACCAGGACATGGATGTCACCAAATGACACCACACAACACCCAAAAGATTTCAGGCACGTAATTAACATTAGGAACTTAGCCCTTTGCACACTACTTGCATACAAACATACGTGCCAATTTATTTAATTGTTCCTCTGGGAAATGCCAGTATCCTCAGTTTAAAATAACATTGTCTTTACAAACCAAGTCTCCACACCGTAAATTTACACACACAGAATTCTGCAGTCATGACATTATTTCTTCTCAGTAAACTTGAAAAAAGATCCTCATTCACACAGACGGAACTCCGGTGTGCTCATACCTTTCATGCATCTCTTTAGCTTCTCTCTCTTTCCTTTTAATTTCCAGTTCAGCAAAGAGCTTCATTGTCTGTTTGTACACAGCCTGTTTGAACTGTAAGCAACAGAACTTTATTTCAACATCAATGTATCATAATGTGGTTACATAAGCCTCTGTTTTACACTAGCCCTAGTCTAGTCTACAGTCTAGCATCCAGGGGTTATTAGAGACAAGTAAGAAGCTCCAAATGAGACCCATAGTCAAAGGGCATTAATCATAATGTGGTGTGGCACAAAAGCTCAACTCTTGGCATCCAAGTTAATGCATTTCCATTGACCTCCACAGGAGCTGACAGGTCAGCAGGCCACTCCAGCCTTCCCTCGCTAGGGGGACAATTACCCTTTACCTCAGGATCCCTGTTACCAGCAACTGCAGAGCCAGAGGAACGGGATAATGCTGCACAGAAACACTCTGGTCACACAGCCTATTGGGTACGGTTGGCTGGAGTGAAGAAGTGCACCCCACTTCAGTTCTGCCGTTGGTGGGGAAAGCATGCGGCGGGGGGGGGGGGGGGGGGGGGGGGGGGGGGGGGAGGCACTCTGCCCAAAATCCCTACCCAGCACCTCCTTCCACAGCAAGAGTCAAGTATCACCCAAGGTCAAAATCCTGAACCTTTTGGAGGCCCACAGGACAGAATTTTAATGCTCAAAAAATTGTAATGCTCTCTTATTTACAAGGCAGCCAGCCTTAATAGCAACCCAAACTAATGGGGGGCAGGGAGGAGTCATCTCACATTATGGCCTGCATCAGAAAAGAGCTTTGTTAGCCTGCCATAGTCTTTTTTCCCACTTGCTATTACTAAAGCAGAGTCAGAATCAAAGCTCTCACTGACAAGCCCTGCTACTCTTCTGTTGAGTCCTGCAATGTAGCCTTGACTGCTGCTACGGAAAGGACATGAGATCACTACCCAGGTATTATGGACTTCACTGCAAAATCATTCTACACTAAAAAACATGCTGAAAAATGGGAAACCTGGATTTAAACAAAAGAACCTTTAATAACCAACATACATAACAAGGAACTTCTAGAAACAAATGGAAAGTAAACAATGGTACTTCACTAAGGGCTCTTTATTAGCTGTCAACAGAACGTCCCTTTGTAAGAACAAAAGACAAACTAGAAGAACATCCTTTAGTTTCTAAATACCTATTGAAACATACGCTCTTCCAAGTCACAGACAAGTGTTTCTGTATCATTGTAGAAATAAAAACTGCTTAATAGTCACAGATTCCAAGGTCAGAAAGGACCACTATGCTCACCTAGCTGACCTCTAGTCTGGAGTCATTGTGGATAGTTCTCTGAAAACATCCACTTAATGTGCAGCAGCAGTCAAAAAAAGCTAACAATGTTAGGAACCATTAGGACAGAAATAGATAATAAGACAAAAAACATCATAACACACTATATAAATCCATGGTATGCCCACACCTTGAATACTGAATGGAGTTCTTGTCGCCCCATCTCAAAGAAGAGATATTAGAATTGGAAACGGTATAGACACAAAAATGATTAGAAGAACAGCTTCCATACAAGGAGAGATTAAAAAGCCTGGGACTGTTCAGCTTAGAAAAGAGATGACTAAGGGCTGATATGACAGAGGTCTTCAAAATCATGAATGGTAAGGAGAAAGTGAATGAGGATGTGTTATTTATCCCTTCACATAACACAACTAGGGTCACCGGATAAAATGAACAACCAGCAGGCTTAAAACTAACAAAATGAAGTACTTCTTCACACAACGCACAGTTGCCATGGGATGTTGTGAAGGCCAAAGTATAACTGGGTTAAAAAAAGAATTAGATAAGTTCATGGAGGATAGGTCCATCAATGGCTGTTAGCCAAGATGGTCACAGATGCAACCCCTGTTCCAGGTGTCCCTAAAACTTCAAGTGCCAGAAACTGGGATGGGATGACTGGGAAGGGATCACTCAAAACTGCATAGGGCCAAGAACAGATTCCTCTTTGACTTTCAGCCCCTTTAAACAGTCCCAAAAATATCTGCTCTCATGCAACTTACTACTTCCGGATCATCCTCCTCTACGTTGGTTGGCTTTCCTTCCTTCTTTAACAACTTCTTTTTTTCTTTCACCTAAAGAGCGTCATACATCAGAACAAAAAGAGCATTTTATTGGTGTTAGGTTAGTGGTGTCCAGCTGATTCTTTAACCCCGACACACCCACGTAACTAGGTGTTTTGCAGAGAGACCTTAACCTGGATTTGTGTTTTACATTACATCCAAGTGTTAAGTATCAGAGGGATAGCCGTGTTAGTTTGTATCCACAAACACAACGAAGAGTAAGGTAGCATCTTAAAGACTAACAGATTTATTTGGGCATAAGCTTTCATGGGTAAAAAAAACCCCACTTCTTCAGATGCATGGAGTGAAAATTACAGATACAGGCATAAATATATATTGGCACATCAAGAAAAGGGAGTTACCTTACAAGTGGAGAACCAGTGTTGAAGGCCAATTCTTCATGTGCCAATATATATTTATGCCTGTATCTAATTTTCACTCCATGCATCTGAAGAAGTGGATTTTTTTACCCAAGAAAGCTTATGCCCAAATAAATCTGTTAGTCTTTAAGGTGCCACCGGACTCCTCACTATCCAAGTGTTGTGGCTCTAGATATAGATATAAATATATATACATACACACACACACACTTACTTTGTACCAGTCTACTGAGAAGTCTGCCACAATCGCTAGCAGAACAGGTGAGTTTCTTGGTTTAGAGAGCCCCTGCGTTTCCCCTTATCAGCCTGTTTCTCCAGTTTAGTGTGTATGACTAAGCCTACCTTTCAGCTTCCTCCCTCACTTTACAGGGCTTCTTCCCAAAACCCACCTGCCCCACTACACATCCAGTTCTAACCACCCTCTGCCTCCCTGTGTTTGTTCAGTATCATTCATTCTTAGAGTTTAAGGCCAAATGGGAACATTAGACCATCTAGTCTGACCTTGAGTATATCGCAGGCCATTTTACCCAGTTACCCCTGTATTGAGCCCAATTACTTGTGTTTAAGTTCATTCTCGCTCATGCAACTGGACTGTAGCTCCTTGAGGCACAGATCTGTTCTGGGTTTTGGACAGCTCACCGATTCTGCCTTTAGCATACACTGTGCTGTACAACTAAATGACAACAATTCTCTAAGCACCAAGGGCTGTTACACATGAAGTACTTACAGTATGTTCCACATATTCTTTCCCTGCCTGTATCACATCCAAGGCCCTCTTCTTTTGCTCCTGGTCCAGTAGCAACTTGTATGCTTTGTCCACAGCTAACAAGAACATAAGAACATAAGAGTGGCCATACTGGGTCAGATCAAAGGTCCATCTAGCCCAGTATCCTGTCTTCCAACAGTGGCCAATGCCAGGTGCCCCAGAGGGAATGACCAGAACAGGGAATCATCAAGTGATCCATCCCCGTCGCCCATTCCCATCTTCTGGCAAACAGAGGCTAGGGATACCATCCCTTCCCATCCTGGCTAATAGTCACTCATGGACCTATCCTCCATGAACTTATCTAGTTTTTTTTTAACTCTGTTATAGTCTTGGCCTTCATAACATCTCTGGCAAAGAGTTTCACAGGTTGACTGTGCATTGTATGAAAAAATACTTCCTTGTGTTTGTTTTAAACCTGCTGCCTATTAATTTCATTTAGTGACCCCTAGTTCTTGTGCTATGAGGAGTAAATAACACTTCCTTATTTACTTTCTCCATACCAGTCATGATTTTATAGACCTCAAACATATCCCCCCTTAGTCGTCTCTTTTCCAAGCTGAAAAGTCCCAGTCTTATTAATCTCTCCTCATATGGCAGCCCTTCCATATCCCTAATCATTTTTGCTGCCCTTCTCTGAATCTTTTCCAATTCCAATATATCTTTTTTGAGATGGGGCGACCACATCTGCATGCAGTATTCAAGATGTGGGCGTACCATGGATTTATATAGAGGCAATATGATATTTTCTGTCTTATTATCTATCCCTTTCTTAATGATTCCCAACATTCTGTTCGCTTTTTTAACTGCCGCTGCACATTAAGTGGATATTTTCAGAGAACTATTAACAATGACTCCAAGATCTCTTTCTTGAGTGGCAACATCATTTTATATGTATAGTTGAGATTTGAAAGTTGAGATTATGGTTTTCCAATGTGCATTACTTTGCATTTAACAACATTGAAGGTCACCTGCCATTTTGTTGCCCAGTCACCCAGTTTTGAGAGATCCTTTTGTAGTGCTTCGCAGTCTGCCTGGGACTTAACTATCTTGAGTTGTTTTGTATCATCTGCAAATTTTGCCACCTCACTGTTTACCCCTTTTTCCAGATCATTTATGAGTATGTTGCACAGAACTGAGCCCAGTACCGACCCTTGGGGGACACCACTATTTACCTCTCTCCATTCTGGAAACTGACCATTTATTCCTACCCTTTGTTTCCTATCTTTTAACCAGTTACCAATCCATGAGAGGACCTTCCCTCTTATCCCATGACAGCTTACTTTGCTTAGAGCCTTTGGTGAGGAACCTTGTCAAAGGCTTTCTGAAAATCTAAGTACACTATATCCACTGGATCCCCCTTGTCCACATGCTCAGTGAGCTCCTCAAAGAATTCCAGTAGATTGGTGAGGCATGATTTCCCTTTACAAAAACCATGTTGACTCTTCCCCAACAAATTATGTTCATTTATGTGCCTGACAATTTTGTTCTTTACTATAGTTTCTACCAGTTTCCTGGTACTGAAGTCAGGCTTACCGGCCTGTAATTGCCGGGATCATCTCTGGAGCCCTTTTTAAAAACTGGCATCACATTAGCTATCCTCCAGTCATTTGGTACTGGAGCTGATTTAAATGATAGGTCACAGACTACAGTTAGTAATTCTGCAACATCACATTTGAGTTCCTTCAGAACTCTTGGGTGAATACCATCTGGCCCTGGTGACTTATTACTGTTCAGTTTATCAATTTGTTCCAAAACCTCCTCTAATGACACCTCAATCTGGGACAGTTTCTCAGATTTGTCACCTAAAAAGAGTGGCTCAGGTTTGGGAATCTCCCTTACATCCTCAACCATGAAGACCGATGCAAAGAATTCATTTAGTTTTTCCGCAATGGCCTTCTCGTCCTTGAGTGCTCCTTTAGCTTCAAGATTGTCCGGTTGTTTAGCAGGCTTCCTGCTTCTGATGTACTTAAAAAAAAAAATTGCTATTACTTTGAGTCTTTGGCTAGCTGTTCTTCAAATTCCTTTTTGGCCTTCCTAATTATATTTTTATACTTTATTTGCAAGAGTTTATGCTCCTTTCTATCTTCCTCACTAGGAATTAACTTCCACTTTTTAAAGGATGCCTTTTTGCCTCTCACTGCTTCTTTTACTTCGTTGTTTAGCCACAGTGGCACTTTTTTGGTTCTCTTACTATGTTTTTTTCATTTGTGGTATATATTTAAGTTGAGCCTCTATTATGGTGTCTTTAAAAAGTTTCCATGCAGCTTGCAGGGATTTCACTTTTTGCGCTGTACCTTTTAATTTCTGGTTTCAGAGTAGCAGCCATGTTAGTCTGTATCCGCAAAAAGAACAGGAGTACTTGTGGCACCTTAGAGACTAACAAATTTATTAGAGCATAAGCTTTCGTGGGCTACAGCCCACTTCTTCGGATGCATATAGAATGGAACATATATTGAGGAGATATATATACACATATACAGAGAGCATGAACAGAGTTGTCTTACCAACTCTGAGAGGCCAATTAAGTAAGAGGAAAAAAAACTTTTGAAGTGATAATCAAGATATCAAACTGTCTGTACTGGGCTAAGAAGTGTGAGAATACTTACAAGGGGAGATAGATTCAATGTTTGTAATGGCTCAGCCAATCTCCCCTTGTAAGTATTCTCACACTTCTTAGCCCAGTACAGACAGTTTGATATCTTGATTATCACTTCAAAAGTTTTTCTTCTCTTACTTAATTGGCCTCTCAGAGTTGGTAAGACAACTCCCACCTGTTCATGCTCTCTGTATGTGTGTATATATATCTCCTCAATATATGTTCCATTCTATATGCATCCGAAGAAGTGGGCTGTAGCCCATGAAAGCTTATGCTCTAATAAATTTGTTAGTCTCTAAGGTGCCACAAATACTCCTGTTCTTTTAATTTCTGTTTCACTAACCTCCTCATTTTTGTGCAGTCTCCCTTTCTGAAATTAAATGCTACAGTGTTGGGCTGCTGTGGTGTTTTCCCTGCCACAGAGATGTTAAATTGAATTATATTTTTTCACTATTACCAAACGGCCCAGCTATATTCACCTCTTGGACCAGATCCTGTGCTCCACTTAGGACTAAATCAAGAATTGCCTCTCCTCTTGTGGATTCCAGGACTAGCTGCTCCAAGAAGCAGTCATTTAAGGCGTCAAAAAACTTTATCTCTGCATTCTGTCCTGAAGTGATAGGTACCCAGTCAATATGGGGATAGTTGAAATCCCCATTAATATTGAGTTTTTTATTTTAATAGCTTCTCTAATGTCCCTGAGCATTTCAAAGTCACTATCACCATCCTAGTCAGGTGCTCGGTAGTATATACCTACTTCTATATTCTTATTATTAGAGCATGGAATTACTATCCATAGAGATTCTATGGTACAGTTTGGTTCATTTAAGATTTTTACTTCATTTGATTCTACGCTTTCTTTCTCATATAGTGCCACTCCCCCACCAGCATGACCTGTTCTGTCCTTCCGATATATTTTGTACCCTGGTATTACTGTGTCCCATTGATTATCCTCATTCCACCAAGTTTCTGTGATGTCTATTATATCAATACCCTCATTTAATACGAGGCAATCTAGTTCATCCATCTTATTATTTAGACTTCTAGCATTTATATATAAGCACTTTAAAAACGTGTCACTTTTTAGCTGTCTGCCATTACATGTAATGGAATGGAACTTTAATTCATTTGACAAAAAACACATTCACAAAACACTATGAGTCTAAGCTACTACGTGACTTTTATAGACTGTTTCCAGGGATCTCCTAGGTCAGTCACAACTTGACTAGCTAGAAGAAATATCAATACAGACTCCAATGGCAAAGACCTTCCTTGGGCCACATTTAGGATTCATTAGGCTTGAAATTGTCAGTCCCAGTAAGTGGTGGGGTTTTAGAGCATAAGGCAGTTAGTTTTATACTGCATGACTCCTACTGGCTTTAGTGCAAAGTGTGTGGCTAAAACCCACAAAACACTGCCCTACACACAGTGCACATGTTTTTCTACTCCAGTTAGAGAAGTCCCACTAGATCTATATGCCACTTGAGTTTCAATTTGTCTATTATCAGACTGTAACAAAGCAACTGCTGCCACCTAGAGGAATTCTGCAGCTGTAAGAGACAGTAATCATACTGAATAGCTGTATTTCTCTCTCTCCAAACGCACCTGCACTCAAGGCCCAGTTTGCAGTCCCTCACCATCCAGGGAAGAGAACAAGTTCTCTCCTGATCTAATAAATTAAAGCATCAAAACCAGCTAAGGAGAAATACCAGTACAATAGCACCATATGTGACACTGTCAGGGATATTACCTTCAAAGGCCTTCTGGGCTCTTTCAGCATCATCTTGATTTTTGTCAGGATGTACCAATATGGATAACTACAAAGAACGAGAAAGTATTGCAAGATTAGAATAGTTTTTACAGATAATGGATATTTCATAGATGCCTCTATGGAAAAAAGCACTCTTTCTGAGGTAAGCGACATCCGACAGGAGAAAAGCATCAGCTAAAAAGACACCACACTGCTTATATAGCACAGGATTCTCTCCTAGTGAAGAGAAAATTGACTCACTGGAGCTTCCCCACTTCGTGTAGTATCAGTAAAGGTCTGAAGAGGACATTCTAACCAGTGGCAGCTTTAGGGCTAAATTTTAGGTGGGCATCATAATTCCACAGATCCACAAGGGCTCAATAAAAGCACTTCTGACAGAACGCTCAGTCCTTAGCTTGTGCTGATCACAGTGTAGAACAAACACCCTTCCTTAAGTCCTGCTGCTCCAGAGGCCCCTGTCCACTGCCTAGCTCAAAACTCTGCTGCACACAGATATGGTCTGCTCCTCAGTGAGGTTATTTCTAGGGCACAGGATATTTCAGTTGAAAGGCCTGAACTCCCTCACTATGCAAGGGATGCAAAGTGCAGAGAATTAAGATCAGCAAGTCATAGACATTGAGAAATAACTCAGGGCCACCTGACTCCCAGCCCCATGCTCATTTCCTCAGGCCATAGGAGTATTTGGGGAAGATGCAATGCAACAGTTGGGAGTAGAATCCCCTTCACCACATCCTGTTCTCCCAAAATACCGGGAAGTTCCCTGGCAGGATAAGAGAGTTGTTCTGCAAAAGTCAAGTGCTCACTGGACTCCTTAGCTACACATACAATCCATCATTAGGGGCAGGGTCATGGACTTTGCTAACATAAATATGCACTGGGCACTTCAACACTCTCTTGGTCAAACCAAGACCAGTTTCTCCTCAGACCAGGCCACGCACTGCTCCGCAGCAAAGGCTATTTCCCCGCCAATATGCAGCCTTCATACCTCAGCCACTACAGATAGCAAGAGCTGCTACAAAAAAGTGAAAGGGCTAGTCCCTAATGGGCATTCTCCTTATGCTCATACACAGCTGACCCAGCTTTGCTCAAGTTCTCAAGGTCCCTCCAGAGACATTCGGCACTACCACAGCTAGACCAACACAATGGCCACATACCTGCCGGAACCTCTTCTTTATTTCTTCATCTGTGACATCAGGATCCATCTGTAGTACCTAGAAGTACCCACAGCAGAGAGAGTTTCATGACAGGCACCAATTGTCAGGTTCCCTGTGGCCCAGCCCTGTAACACCTGTTTCACTGGCATACAGGGACAAAAAGTCAGTCAGAGGGGGCGTGGCTGGAGCATGTTGCTGTTCCAGTCTCCGGCTGGCCCCAGTATCTCAGTGATGCAAAGGTGCCAGGAAGCCACCTTTAGCTGCTAACTCCAATTTCAGCCCTGCAGTACAGCTCAACTTGTCTGGAATAGAAAATCGGAGCTGGTAGTATTTAGTGAAATACTGGCAGGTTAAGTCATTTTTAACAACCTGTTTCCTGCCCAAAATTACTAACATCACTTTTGATTATTGATCTGATTGAATACCTATGACAGTCTATACCATTAATACTGTTTGTTTAATTTACGCATTTTTCTCATCTTGAAATGAAAACAGATGGTGAGTTTCACTGCCTGGTTCTTGAGTGACAGCCTTGTGGTCCAGAGTTTGGAAGTTTGTCCGAGGAAGTGCCCATTAGGGTGTATTTGAATTTAGGAAATCTCTCTTATGAACTGGTCTGCTGAATGAAAGATCTGGGGAACTTCTGTGCTAGCTCAACTCTTAAGTCTATAGGCACTGCAGCAGATGATGTTAATTAAAGAAATTGGAAATTAACTTTAATTCCAGGAAGAAAAACCCTGTGTAGCTGTTGGATTTCACAGGGTTTTCTGAAAAAATGTGTCCACTTTCTAACCAAGTGTCAGGATTCTGCGCAGAACTATTCTGCAGACTCACCCTGGCAGACAGAGCAATTGGACTCCTCTTTAGCTCAAACTCAGAAACATAGAAGGCTGAGAGTTTCTCAGGCTAGAGACAGGAACAGGAGATCCTGCACAAAAGCACCCTCAGAAGAGCCAGTTCAGGCTACTGTTTGTTATATGTACAGTACAGCTTCAAGGCTTTGCTACAGCATGAATGCATGATGCACTGAGCGCAAGGGGGCACACCCTCATTTCACATACCTTGATGATCCTCTAAAGTGCCACAGGTAACTGACCTGAATTTGCTTACTGCCCTGCAAATTACATAAAACTTTATTCCAAGAAGCAATCTGTTCTAAAGCTTTGCTTCAGACGTCCAAAATAAAATGCACAAGCAGTAAATACCAATGGAGTCGAGTCTGATAAGACCAGAAGCTGGTGAGACAGTCGTGTTATACCCTCACCCAAAAGATGCCAGCCATAAACCTGCCAAGTCTCCCAGTGACACAGCATACCAGTGAAACCTGCCAACAGGAGGTGCATGTACAGCTTCTGCCTCCTATTGGCTGAGCAGGGAGCGTGAGGACACAGTCTGTCTGGTCAACCCTTGCTATCCGGCACTATGCCTGGATGTATTTTTCAATGGTTATTAAATATCCAGTAGGTACACAAGGATCTCTAAGAAGGAGTCAATAAGAAGGAGAGGGCTCAAACTTACTTCAAATGGATTCAGGTTGAAATAGGAGGATCCAGGTCGGGTCAGTCTCTCAATCTGGTTTTTTGGCGTTAAAACAGAGTCACGCTTTTCGATCTGCTTCACCTGGAGAGGACACCTCATTAACTGAGTGATCACCACATAAATTAGTTGTATTATTGTATGACCACCATGACAGAGGGTTTCATTCAAAGGCAACCTACACAACATCCCACCCAGACTCAGGTCTGCAGCCATCAGCTCAGTGGGGACTTTCCTTGCTCAGCTATTTGCTGAGCTCACTTTATTCTTTTGCTGCATAATGCTATAGAACAATGCTCTCTCTTCACCTTCTCTATGCCCTCAGCCACAACAGTCCAGATACTGCTTTTGCTTCTTCCTGCACTAACCTGTTCAGCAGCTGTGCCCTAAACCCTGTACCATCTGATTCCTGACATCCTAACAATGCTGCTCACCTTCAGCCTTCACCATTCTCTAAGCTATATAAACTGCCCCTTAAAGTCTTATTGACACACAAACCTTCACAGGTTTAACTAGAGGTGTGGTTTTAAACTGATTTAATTAAGCTGGCACAAATGTGTGTGCAGATTTATTTATTTAAGAGTGGACTAATTTTGGTTCATCTTACTATTTTTTTCTTCTCCATAGGATTAAGCTAAACTGAAATAAGAGCGTCCACATACATACATTGGTTCAAATGAACCAGTTTAAAAGTCAATTTAAGTTAAACGAGCACAACATAAGAACGGCCATACCGGGTCAGACCAAAGGTCCATCTAGCCCAGTATCCTGTTTTCTCACCGTGGCCAATGCCAGGTGCTTCAGAGGGAATGAACAGAACAGGTAATCAAGTGATCCATCCCATCACCCATTCTCAGCTTCTGGCAAACAGTGGCTAAGGACACCATTCATATGTAGACAGCGCTCATGTTAAACTGGTGCAAGTTTATGTGAAGATAAAGCTTAACAGTCAGGAAAAGGAAAAGAAAATCCTCTGCACTCATGTGGGATGGCAGATTGTCTAAGAGGCCAAGTGATGAGGTGGAACAGGTTCAGCAACGGTGCAGTGCTTGGCGTGCACACACAAAGCTGCTTTCAGTGCAGGTATAATGAAAAAGGGGAGCTGTCTGAAGTGTACAATTCCCACTGAGTGTGATCCTCAAAATACAGTGTACCGTATGTACAACTAAAATATCACACATTAGGATCCCCTTCATTTGCAACAAGGGTAGTGAGATGAGCCCCCTCTTGACAAGGAAGGGAAAGACCCCTCTCACCGGCAGCTTTGGTTAAGTCTGAAACTTTTAGGTCACCTTGTGAGCTCGGAACAGAGATTCAGCACCTTCATCTGTCCTCATCATTTACACTCTTCACTCGGCTACCCTAGAACACGCATTCTGCTGGTTTATCTCCTACTGTGTCACAGTGGCCAGTATGCACTGGACTCTAATAAACACCTTATACAGGATCATGTTCCTCTGACACAGGTAACTTGTTAATTACCTTCCTTTGGGGTTTTTTTTTGGGGCGGGGGGTGAAGTAGCATAAGGATGTAGTCCACTTTAAAAAGAACCATTTCTTATGCCAGAAAAAAGTAAGTGGTGCATTTGGGCTGCAGGTTGGTCTCACTAGCAGAATCACTGTAGATAAATGTGTAGTCGGATATTTGCTGCCATTGACACTAATGTTGCCTCTATCCACTTTGTTTCTTTTCTAGGGATCTGTCTTTATGAACGAAGTCTGGGCGAAGGCAAGGAGAAGCTTCCCACAGTGATTCCAGCCTCATCCGCTGCAGAATCCAGGTTTGCATTGAAAAGGAAGATGAAGCTTTTTAGGATGCAGGAGCCTGAAGCCAGAGGCCCAGGCCCGCGTCCAGGTGCCCGACTATCGGGGCTGATTGTCAGAAGCGCTCCTCAGCCAGCAGCACCCCGCCGGCAGTGGGGGCGGGGCTGACAGAAACCACGAGCCCTGCGGGGGCTAAGGCGGGCCATGCCCCTGCGCTGCTGCCGGGCGCACCGCCCGGGGGAGGGGGCACTGGCGAGCTCAGCTCGCGGGTCGCAGCGGCTCTGCAGGGCTCGGGGCAGCTGCCCAACTGCCCCAGCGCCGGCTCGTCGGGGGGGGGGGGGAGGAGAGGCACGGGCCGGGCAGAGCCTCGGCAGCCCAGACGCTACGAGAGGGGCCACCCCAGGCCCAAGCGCGGCCGCCCAGCCCGGAGAGCCCACGCGGGCCCGCGCGCAGGTACCTCGCTGTAGAAGGTGAGAAACGCCTCCTCGGCGGTGCCCCCCGCCCCGCGCTCCCGCGGAGCCGCCATCGCCCGTGACACGGTGACCCCCACGTGACACAGACACCGTGCCCAACAGGGGCCGGCACCCGTCACGTGATCGGAGCTCAGTTCTACGCAAACAGGCCCCGCCCTAGCCGGGCCCCGCCTCCTGCTCGCTGCTGGGGGCGGGCCAAAGGCGAGGCCTGCCCGTGCTGGCTCCGCCATGATCCCGCCGTGGGGGGGAGTCGGGACCAGTGATCTCCCTACACCCCCTGAATTCCCCCCCCGTTTTGTGAGCTAGTTACATGCCGATTTAGTGACTGGAAATTTGAGCTGAAATTGAAACATTAATACACACTTTACAAGCATATGCGGTGTATGATCAAATACGTGTATCTGAAAAAGTATACTAGATTTGAAAAGTCTGAATGTAGACTAGCTTCCTTCTACAGCTGTTGTTTTTATGACAATGTCAGTGCATTCATTTCGGTGATGTTGGCCAACCTAATCATTTCAAATGCTGATTTGTAAGCAAAGTCTGAATGAGCTCTCCCTGACGGCTAGTGATGAGCTGGGGCTGGGGGGAAAGGCTTCAGGACCAGATTGTATTTACATTCACACCTAATCAGGGCTCGTGCAACCACTAGGCGAACTAGGCGACCGTCTAGGGCACCTAGTGTTTGAGGGCACCTAAAAGCCCACTCAGGCAAGGAGGTGGAGTGGAGGTGAGCTGGGGCGGGGGGGGTGCGGGGAGGGCCACCCGCAGTAACGGGGGGGCACACAGGGGAACTGCTCCCCATCCCAGATCACCTCCACTGTGCCTCCTCCGCTGAGCACACAGCCCCTGCTCTAATTCTCCTCCAATCGGCGCCGCAAGCCTGGGAGGGGAGGAGAATTAGAGCGGTGCCGGCGCGCTCAGCAGAGGAGGCGGAGCGGAGGTGAGCTGGGGCGGGCTCCCCGGGCGGGCTCCCCGGGCGGGGTGAGCTTCCGCAGGGAGGGGCTCCCCAGGCAGGGTTAGCTGCTGCAGGGGGGGGCTCCCCGAGCGGGCAGGATTAGCTGCTGCGGGGTTAGCTGAAGAGGGGGGGTACCTGCTGTGGGGGGGCTCCCCAGGTGGGGGGGGTGGCAGGCTGAGTTAGTTGCCGCAGCGGGCGGGGTTAGCTGCCGCGGGGGGACTCCTCTGGTGGGGTGGGCGTGGTTAGCTGCTGCGGGGGGCGGGGTTAGCTGGGTGGGGGGATGGCGCAAGGTGGAAGTTTTGCCTAGGGCGCCAAACTTCCTTGCACCGGCCCTGCACCTAATACCTAGGTATCCAGCAAACAGAGCTGTGTTGCCCAAGTGATAGATTTTGGCTGGGGTTGGGTTACAAATCACTTGAATGTGGGGGGAATTAAATATTGTTGTTCTTATTGTATGAGTAAAAGGCAGTAGAACTGTACTTAGCCTGTGCTGATTGAGGGCATCAAGAGAGAGGGTGGGGACCTGTCCCTCTCCACTGTTTAAAGACAGAGCTGATTAGGCTCCATAGATAGTCTTTTGTTCTGTTAAGTGACCACTGCAGCTGAAATCACTGATAATCAGGTCTAAGTGCTGAGTCCTGCTGTGGGACAGTGTTTCTGTGGAAGGGATGGCCCAGACTGCACTAGCAGCGAGGTTCCC